ATCAGGATACTCATTGGCCCTCTCCTGACTCAGCTTCCCCCAGGTCAGAGCCCAGTCTGTGTCTCTCCAAGGGGCTAATTGCGGGCGGTGAGTCCCCAGCCTACACTTCGGCTCTGAAGCAAAGCAGAGTATTGGCACAGTACACGGTGAAAGCACACGGTGAAGTTGGATAAACAAGAACAGGCCTAACATGGGCTCCGATCCAGTTCCCATGGAAGTCAGGGGTGGGGGAAGCTACAAGTGACTCCAATAGGCCCAGGCGTGGGCAGTGGAAACACCCTTAAGACTGCCCCCAACCTGTGCCACAGAATATTGCTTAAGAAACCTGAACACCTTAGATAAGAGCGTCTCCTCTTTGGAGCTCCCAGCTGGGGTCGTGAGCCTCACGTCCCAGGCTGCGTCGCAACCCCCCTGGATGTCTCTCTGCATTCATCCAAGCTCTCGCCCAGTCCCAGGGAAGAGAGTTCTTTGTTTGCCCAGCAACCCAGCTGGGCTCCTGAGGTGACTGGTTACACGTTACATCACCTATCCCAGAGGAGCTCAGTCTGACCTGTGCTTTACCATCCTCTACCTCCCCTTCTCCCCTGGAAATAGCTCCTTCCAAAGGGGTTCTCTTAATGGCACTCTTCCTCCCACTACGGGTGGGCAGTTTCCCTTTCCCCCCCTCCCTGCCTGGCTTCTAGGGTCTTAACAACCCTCCCATAACACCTTTGAGACTGGTTTTTGTTCGACATAATTATTCTCAAACCAAGCTTGTCTGGGCTTGTCTGAGACAGCCTGCTGCTGCAGGATACCAGAGAAGCATAACCATAAATCAGCAAGTATTTGTAAGCAGGAGGACAGGTCTGTCAGCATAATGAAAGCAGTCCCCTAGAGCAATGATCCACCCCAGCAATTCTCATGGGGAAAAGAGACCCACCCACTGATGGTGGAAAGATAGGGGGGTTAAATCCAAGCTGTCCATGTGCACCTGAATAAATCAGCTGCAGCTGAGAATCAAAACCTTTAAGGTGCTGGGGGCTCTTTTCAGAAACAAAGCAACAGGTGTCTGCTCATCAGAATGGAGATGAGGGAGTGTTGGGAACATGAGCTGTGCACTGGTGCAGCATATCCTTGTTTGCTGTTTACAGACTGTTAAATTGTACAAAGGGCTTGTGAGGAGAGGTTTTGCTGCTTTATGTAACACTGGGTATAATAGAAAAGGAAAATCTGGTAAGTAAACCTGAAACCCCAGGGAGGGTTTGGTTCTTGTTTAATGTGGGCCAGACTTGTCAGCGCTCCGCTCCCACAACTGGGACTAGCTTTCCAACAGCTCTTGGCTTCTGTTGTTGGGCCCCATCCCTTCTGAGTGGGCCCTGCTAGGTCTTGGGCCCTGAGTCTGCCTTTCTGGGGCAGAATCCTGTGATTCTCACATTCAGACTAGGCCCAGCCCTGTGTTGGGACTGTGATTGCTCAGCAGGTCCGAATGAGTTTGGCTACCTGTGGTTCTTCCCCTTTGGGAGCTGTGACCCAAACCAGCCTTCTTAACACAACGTAGGGTTTAATCTTAACAGTGGCAGCACAGCATAACACGAGAAAAGGGCTTTTTAAAACAATAAGTCTATCTGCATCTCTTACCTAAAGGTTTAGGTAGGCTTATTTTACCCCTGGCCTTTAAAGTCTGGGGGGCAGGCTGCTCCCCAATGGCCTGACTCAGTTTCCCCATTAATTGCCTGCCCTTCTCAGGAGAGGGTCTGTATCTTTAAACCCTTGTGAGGCTTTTCCTCCTCTTCCCCCTGCCTCACAAGGGTTGAACTCTCCTGGGGAAAGTTTATCTGGCAGGCCGTGTAGGGGACCAACGTGAATCTCTTCATTGTTTGCCAAGAGCTGTGAATATCAGGCACCATCTCGCTTCCTGGAGCCATTTCCTGGAAAACCTGACAGGGGAATTAACACAATGCATACAGTAAACAACAAGCACCCAAATCAGATGCAGGATTCATCACGTATAGCCAGCTCCAAATCTATCATTTTCTCAGTAGCCAGTGTGCATGTATATTTCCCCCCCAGTGATCTTGTACCCACCCAGTAAGTTGTTTATGGGCCAAGTGCTCTTGTATTTTGAGCAGACAGCAGAGGAAAGTGAATGCCAATGTCAGAAACCATGGTGGAGATGCTTGAATGTCTTGCTATCTAATATGCTTATCACCATAGCATCTAGGCTGCAACGTGCAAATAAGGCCAGACCAAGCAGAACTAAATAAGCAGCAAGCAGAGGGTGCTGGTATGCAAAGGGGATTATTGCAAGAATCCAGTCCCAAGTCGATGCTCCATTCACTTCTGATCCCTACACTCCGTGCTTCTCTAATGCACAGTGCAAACAGGAAGAACAGGAGGACTTGTGGCACCTTAGAGACTAACAAATTTATTAGAGCATAAGCTTTCGTGGACTACAGCCCACTTCTTCGGATGCATGGCTGTAGGAGGGCTGTTACACACTTTAGCAAGTGGTGTATTGGGTTCCTTAGAGATGTGAAGACTGCATCATTTTATGCTCTGGGCTTCTTCTCCTGTGGAGGGTGTAGTGCTCTGCCTCTTCCCTGACGTCATGTCTGCCCCTTTTGTCTTGAAGCCATCCTGCTGTGGACTCAGACGCTGTGAGCCAAAGCCTACTTGCGTCTACATCAACATCAACGGGGAGTTAATGCCACTGAAGTCAGTGAAGTAACGCTGGGGTAAAGGTGATGGGACTGAGAGAAGAATCCAGCCCACTGGATCTCAACTCTGTGGTTTGTTCTGTGTTGTACAAGCTGCTTCTCATGAATATTTCTGTGGGTTTTGGCCATTTGCACATTTTTCTGCAAAAGGTTGTGATAGGGTTTTGTGACTTTTCAAAATTAATTGCCACTAGCTGGACATCTTGCTGAACTAAAGTTCAGTCGGTTCATTAGCTAATTCCCTAAAGGGCTTAGTATGCTTCTTAGACAGATGTGCTGATTGGTAGATAGTCAATTTTTCCAATTATTCCCTTACCTGCTGTTCATCAACACCTCCTCTGACACAGTCTTCATTACTCCTGTGCTTTATTTTTCCTGTTAAGGAACAACTTTGACAAAGCCTCTTGCAGCATTTGGCCTCAGAGCGGTTGAGGACCAATCCATGCCCTGCTAAGTAAAAGCTCATGAGAGATCTACCATACTGGAAATGTTCGCTTTAGGAGTGTCTGACAGATTGTTCCAGCAAGGAGCAGAATTTGCAATGGAACCAGGAATTTGACTCCCAGACCTCTGATCTACCCTGCAGTCAACACTGTTGTTCATTGGTCATTATTACTTTGGAGGGACAGAGTGGCCCTCCAGCCCAAGGGTATCCCAAGATCTGCAGAAAAATCCCATAACTCTCAGGCCACCAATCTGGGGTTGGAAAATCCATGCAGAGGACCCATCCCTCTATGTTAGTTCTTATTTGCCTCCTCCCCTGGCAGCATAGCTCCCTTAGGAGCCAAATTCACATTGCCCCTCACCCAGGAGTGTGTGTGCACACATATCAGAGGGGGTAGAAGGCATAGAGTAGGTTTGCAAGGAAGTAAGGGCTGCCAATGTCAGCAATGGGTGAAGAAGTGCACAGGTACTGCCCTGGATGGCAGGGAGGGGAATGATACCATATACAGCAGCTCCATCCCCCTCCAAACCCATTGCTCCTATAAAGGAGCTCCCTCTGCTTCATGGGGGAGATGCTGCTGCTCCGGTTTCTCTCCCCATGTTACATAATCACCAGCCAATCTTGGCCATTACCTGGACCAGTCTCATCACAAAACACATGAAGGAAAAGTGAGTGGCTGGCTTGGTAGTTGAGGGGGGGGGCTGTGGTATGGAACCTTCTACCTCCAGTTTGTGTCCAGTCAAGGTCAGTTATGATGTTACAGTTAAGATATATTAACAGAGAGAAAGAGGAAGCAGGGATGGGAAAGAGATCAGAGAAGCACTTGCATGTGAGATGGGGCGGGGGAAGCTGTGTTCTGACATTTTTGTTAAGTCATAGGACACATGGTACGTAGGGACTTGTACTACTACAAATATGGTGCCACCCTAAGGAGCCACCATACTCAAACCAAAAGCACTGCCGGGACTGTGGAAACAGCAGCCAGAGTTTGTTACCGTGTGTAGCATGTGCCATGCTGGTGAGTTAGTCCCTACAATCACATGCAGCAGTCTGTAATCACATGTGTACACAGCTAATACAAGCCACATAGAGGGGGCATAAGGGAGCTGAATTTACATCCTACAGACCTTTGGCTGTAAACCCTATTCTGTAGATGCCACTAGAACCAGTGGAGGGAGGTAGAGGGGATGCAGGTCGGTGACCTTTCCACACAAGCCATAGCCCGCAGACGCTACTAAAAGCAGGCCAGGGAGGAAGAGCAAACCCAGAAAGCATCACACGCCGATCCTATTTTGCGGGTGCAATGAAATGCACCTCTATCCAATAAGCAATAAACGTGTCTCAAAGGAGGGCTAAGCAGGGGCGCAGGAACAGTGTATATAGGGCGGATGCTGAGACCCATCGACCCAAACTGCAGACCCTGGATATGATGGAAACCACCCCCAGCCCCGATGGGGCTAAGACACACGGCAGCGCCGAAGCCCAGCAAGGGGCAGGCGGGTGACGGCCGGGCTGCAGCGCCCTGGGGCTCTGGGGGTTGTTTCCCCCTGTGATTGAACCATGGCACCGCCACGTGGCTGCAGCCCCCCCGGGGGAGTGTTACTCGCCAGGGCTCCAGCTAGGCTGCGGGGGCCCTCCCGGGGCGGGCCGGGAGAGTCCCGCTGGGCTAGCCCCTGAGCCGCTGACTCGCCCTGTCTCCTAGGCCAGCGAGTGACTCCGCTGCTCCTCCCCCCCGGCAGTGCCTGAGCGCGGGCAGGACTCGCCAGCCCCTTTGAGGCCTTGGGAAGGGGGGGCGGAATCACATGCATCCCCCCCGCATCCCTTTCCCCAAGTCCCCCAGCGTGCTCGCGCCCGCCGCCGCGCTGCGTGCTCGCGCCCGCCGTCTGCAGGGCTGGCTGGCTCGCGGGCTGGCTCGCTCCCGTCCCCCGCCGCTCGGAAGGAAGATGGTGGCGAGCGCCCGGGTGCAGAAGCTGGCCCGCCGCTACAAGCTGGCGATCGCCACCGCGCTGGCCATCCTGCTCATCCAGGGCCTGGTGGTGTGGAGCTTCAGCAGCCTGGAGGAGGACGACCACGGCGAGGTAACGGGGGGCTCGGCTCGGCTCGGGCAGGGGATGGGGGCGAAGCCTGGAGGAGCGGGGGTCGGGGCAGATATGGGGTGGGGGTGCATTCGGGGCCGGGTGTTGCTGTGCATCAGGGCCAGGGGGTGGGGGTGACCGTGCATTGGGCACAGGGGTGGCTGATGTGGGGGAGATGGTGCATTGGGACCTACGTTATCTGCTGGGGGAAGAGAGCACGCTAGGGTCTGGGTGGGTGAGTGGGGGGCTGCAGTTCATTAGGATCTGAGGCTGTCTGGCATGAGGTGATTGTATCAGGCTGCGGGAGGTTGGGTGTTACAGTGCCGATGGTCAAGGTGGGTTAGACGTTCCAGTGCATTAGAATATGGGGGTGTCTGAGCTGGAAATGGCTAGTACCCCCCGTATCCTAATACTTTGTAGCACGGTGCATCAGGGTCTGGGAGCTCTGATGAGGGGGGGTGACCATGCATTAGGATCTGGGGTGACTAATATGGAAACTTGCTTTAGTGCATTAGGTCGGGGGGGGGTTAGATGGGGTGCTGCTGCTGTGTATTAGGATCTGATGGTGTGATATGGGGGGAGGGGTGGTCTAGTGAATGAGGATAAGTGGGTGGGGACCTGGCTTGGGGTGGGTAGTACTGGGAGTCTGGCGTGGAGGGGGGTGTTAGGGTGCAATAGGATCTGGGGGACATTACAGTAAGTTAAGACTCAGATCTGATCCAGAGAAATATTACCATATATTATGATATAGAGGATCAGATGTAGTGCGACTGTCAGAACTCAGAGTTCTGATGTAAGACCAGGGTTGTTAATATACCATTAGTTGGAATCTTACATTTTCCAAGCAAAGGGGACGTTCACCGTGAATCTTGTTCTGAGAGGCTCATCTGGGGAGGAATATTAGTATGCATCATGATGGCATCATAATACCTTGCAGTTATATGTTGCCTTTCATCTGAGATGTTCAAAGTGCTTTATGAAGCCAAGTAAGCTTCCTCCTCCCCTTTTTACATATGGGGACACTGAGGCAAGGACAGGTGAAGTGGTTTGCCCAAGGTCACGTGCTGAGCTGGCGGGGAATAGAAGCCAGTTCTCTGGACCAGATTGTCTCATCCTTCACATGAAGGTTTTGACCTCTGGGTCACTCATTCAGATGGGTCTATTTATTACAAGCGTATGGAGTGTATCTCTGCCTGTTATATCTGGTCAAACGCAGATCAGGCCAGTTGTGACTAAATCCCATTTCTGTCAGACACCTGTGATTGAGTTGATGGTCTCAGGGTAGTTTCTCACAGACAAGGGCTTGCCTGACAACTCACGGGCCGTCTCATTTGAGAGGCCTAGAACTCTATGGGTCACAGAGACTTAACCAGCCTCTTCCCCCTTTAGATCTAAGGCTGAAGCATATCTGGGTCAACGTGAGAAAGTGCTTGTACTTGTACTTGCTGTCTGTTGTGTTCCTATTTTACAGCTGATTAGAAGTTGTCTGTCCATCCAACACCTTTTACAAATACTAAATTCACTGTGGGGAGGACCCATCTGCTGTGATTTAGTGGTAAAATCTGGGATGGGGGAGATTTGAGGGAGGACAGGCTGAAGAACTGTATAGTGCCCCCAGGGTGAAGGGTGTGAGCTGGGGAACATGGGTGTATACTGCTGTTGTATTACAGCAAACAGCATTCCGGGGTTAGCAGAAATTAAAAAGTTGAGTTATCTGGGGGGGCACTAGGATTCCACCTTTTCTTTAGGGAATGGATTTTGTGCCTTTTCTGGTGCTTTGTGGAGGGGACGTATTCCGGGATTCCACAGTTTTTCATGGGACTAGCAAAGACGTGGTCAGCTGTCCTTGGGCACTGGGCAGAGATGCAGAAATAGTTGCCGGATCTGGAATGGTACATGGGAGATGCATGGAGCAAAGTGTTTTTGGACGGTAGGCAGGGCTTACAATTGTCACACTCCCAGCAGTCTAACTTCCAGCCATGTGTGCCCTGTTGTGAGTGATGCCGGTTGATTTGATGGATGAGTGGACAAGAAGTGAGACCCCTTCATGTGCTGCACCTACCATGCATTATTGTCTCCATGTGCCAAAAAACCAAGTGGCTTCTGGAGCCTTATGGCCCAGAAAGACTTAATTGAAGCTATGGAATAAATGTTAGTGAAAGAAGAATCTCCTATGATACTAAGACACTGGAAGCCTTGCGAGGCGGGGCGGTGGAGAGATTGGCACAGAATTGGGAGCGAGGAATTCCTGAGCTGCAGATTTGGCTCTGCCCCTTTCTCTCTCCTCAACTAGCTGATGTTTATAAAGCACTCTGAGAACTCCCTAGTGTTAATACAGCCTGTGTCTGTCTATCCTGTGCCTTCCTCCAGAAAGAACTGTTTAGTCTTCATTCCTTCCAGAAGCCGGATTCCTGGACATTCTTTCCAAAATTCAGACTGGGAAATTGGCAGGTTTTGCTGATGCCCCAGGTCATCTTGTCTGGAAATGTGAGGTGTGGTTGGCTCATTGGTCTGGTGTTATGGACATTAGGGGACAGGTGATCTAGTTCAGAGGAAGCAAAAGCCTGAACCTGAACCTTTGCTCAAAACCTGAAGCAGGTTCCGGGGAAGTTCAGTTCACTTTTCTTACAAAATAGCTTTTTCGTTTTCACACACCTCTGCACTTCCTGACCGTGGCTGGCGCTGGAGGAGCCAGAATACCAGGGTATTTCTGGCAAAGCTGGAAGCAACAGAAATCTTCCAGGAGATCCCGTGCTCCTCAGATTACCAGCCAGTTTTGCAGACCTGAAGGGCTTGGAGAGTATGGGTCCTTCTAGTTGTTTAATCAATTAGAACCTTTTCATTCTCCCAGTCACTAATGCATGTTCTGTCCCAGTTTTGCTGGCCCTGCCCACATCTGCCAGTTGTAGTTTGCTTTGGAGACTTGAAGGCAGACACTAGTCCTTAAAATGCCATGGAGCATCTGGAGCTTTTAGTCACTCAAGTCAGCCTTGTCCTTTCCCTCAGGGGTCATTGCATTCAGCTGGGGCTTCTGCAGAAGGCGACAAGGACTGTTCTGCTTCTGTTTATTGCAGCCGCAAGTCTCGGACTGTTTGCAGCCTAAGCCCGAATGTGAACCAATGTCTCCCAAAATGAGTCCGAGTTTACCCACTGTGCCATCTAGCTGCTCTCAAAGCAGTTGCTTATAGCTGTGGTGGTTCTGGCAGGAAGCTTCCCTTGATGTCTGTTTCCTCTCTCCTTTCTTCCCAGCGCTTTTTGTTCTGTTTTTCAGAGAAGGTGTCACACAGATAACAAGGAGACTCTAAATACAGAACATGGGGGAGGCCTCAGCCAGAGACTCAATACGCAAACAAGATCGCTGGCTTTCCAGTACGGCCGTCTTTACGGCTCGCTGACGGGTGCAGGTGTGGGTGGCTGTGTAGGGAAAAGGGAAGGTGAGCAGCCCGGCCAAGGCATTCCCATAAAGCGTTTGCCCAGGGCGAGAAATAGCCCTAACCTCAAAGTCACTTGCCCAAATGAGCCACGGCCGTGGCTGTCCGCTAGCTTCTGCTGGGGAGAACAAGAGTGCGGCCGCTCTTGTTGCTGATCCCAGGGATGCACTGTCAGCCAAGAGCTACAGCATAATCACTCCGTGTTCAGTTCCTGTCTACGTCCAAAGCAACTGATAAAGCACAGCCCCCTAGTATGAAGGCCCCACATCACCCAGGGAGCCAGCAGCCCCCTTCCCAGGGCTTTGTTCCCACTCTGGCTAGATGACAGCTGCATTTACTGTCTCGCTCACCTTTTCCAATCAGTCCCAGAGTAAGGTTTTGTCATTGTTGCCCACCCTGAAATTGCAGCGCTCATGGAAGGTGCTGGGTTGACAGCTGTGGGCACTGAGGGGCTCTATGCACAGAGCAGGTACTGTACAGCACTGAAAGCAGCAGTGACCGCTTCCTCCAGGCCCCTTGCCTGCATTTCTCAACCCGGGGTAGGAACAACTGTACAGTGAAAAGACAGCACATGCAGTCCTTGGCTTCTATGCAGGGCCTAGCCACAAGGGATTGCAGAGATGACTGTCGTGATGTGGGTATCTGTCTGCTAGGAACTAGGCCAAGACCAACTCCTTTCACATGGGCCACTGAACAGCCTGGGCTACTTACAAACGAGAGGTTTAGAGATGAAAAGCCCTGTACTCTGTTCCCATTCCCTGGAAAGCTCCACTGAGTGTCTAACCCACTCAAGTATGTATCCTTCTATGGGCATCACGCAGCTCTCTGGATTATTATATTTACTTGGGATTCCTCCAAATTGCAGTGCAGATGCAGCTGAAGTATCACTCTTAAAGTCACAGTCTGCCCTTGGAGACACATACACATTTCCCGTACAGTTAACAGGGGACTGTGTGCATACAGGTCGACGGCAGCGTGGCCCCTTTAGGAGAGTTCAGGCTTGAATGTGTGGAAGGCTTGGGTAAGCCACAGACTATCCTTGTAAATGCGGAGGAGGAAATGTGATTTGGGAAAGGTCCATTATGTCTGATTCATTTATTTAATCTTCCCTTTTGGCTTGATAATCCTCAATCCAAACGGATCTAGGCTCTGACTAAACAAGGTGTTTGTCTCACACCCAGCACGGTGAGATCAGGAAAAAACTCCCTCTAAAATGTCCTTCTCTGTCAGTGCACCTACAACAATCACACCGATCTTCTCCAAAGAGCTTGCTTTTAAAGAGACACAGCTGAGCCCGTTTTAGGCATAAGATTTAGGGGCTCAGAGCTGCATACATTAATGGGAATTGGGTTTTCAGATGCCCTTGATAGCTTTGAAAAATGTCAGTGTAGGATTTTAGTTCTGTAGTGGGAAAAAAAAACCCCTCCCTCCTGCCTTTGTGTTTAATTCTTTCCCCGTAGTGGCTGCAACCCAAATGCAACAACATCACAGGAGGCTTAGAAAGCAAAATGGACCCGTCCTGTTTTCGTTGCCCAAACTGAAGGGAACACACCAAATAAAATAAAAACAAAC